TGGTGTTTCTTTTATCCAGAAAAAACATTTGTCAAAGGAGGTTACTAGGTTAATTTAGTGTCAGCTGTCTTATGTAAATTCACATTGTATTTAATTTTGTTTACCTTGTGTAGTCTAGCCCTTATAATGTTACCTTCAGAGTTTGTTACGTTGCATGTTTTGCTGCTGGGACTATGCCAGATCTGGAGATGTCAGGATTGTATGTCCGTCCTGTTTTTCATTACAGTGACTCTGTTTGCTCTGACAGGTTTCAGTCATGTGATACTCTCCCTTGGTATATGAAAAGCACTGCTATGGGACTGGCAGCCTCATGCATGAGTTCTTCAGTATTTTTCTGGTCTAGATGATCTATCAACTTGGATTTTTGCCCCTCATCCCTCTTCCATGACCTAGGCAATTTCATAATTTTTAATGTCGTAATTCTGTGTCCCATACACTGTAATTTCTCATTCCATACTCTTGTTCTGCCTTTTGACCACATTCTTCACATCATTTTTATTGAAAAGGCAAATTATTAACTTTGTTTTGGAGTAGTACTATAATTATGTTTGAGCATCATCTCAAGGTCACCGTAGTAGCTCTAACTCCTTTTTCACATGTTTTGTCTCAAGACATTTTTATTTATTATGTAATTTGTTTTGCAAGGTTGATGTTTGGTGATTCTTCCTTTAGCCTTTGCTGTTGGCTTTTCTCACTCCTTGCAAGCTTTCTTTCCACTTTTAAAAAATGACCATTTATCCAGTTAGATATGAAGCCCTTCCCTGCAATTTTGCCCTTGCTCAGAAATCAACTTGCCATTAGACTTTGTGTCAAATAAATTCCCTGTCTTCTCCTTAAGCAAGTCCCTGCATCCTCTAATCTAACTGACTGGAGTTAGGAACAGGTGGCGTCTTCTTTATGCTGTTTTTAATTCTCTTCCTAAACCGTTCATTTTGGCAAAAAGAGTTGTTGAAAGCTCTCTGATTTTTTTTCAGTCTGTCTGTTGTCACCCTGCATGCTTTGTTTCTGCCCTGCAGGTCCACAGCAGAACACATTAATGTCAGAGGTACTGCTGCTTACTCTCGAAGTTATTTGCAAAATTATTGGTCATCACCACGTTCTTCTGGAAAAAGGTGCTGTTGGAAGAAGTGAGTTTATATATAGCTGTGTTTGGGTTTTTTTGTTTTGTTTTGGTTTTTGTTTGTTTGTTTTGGATTTTTTGGAGCATGGTTGTGGCATCAGCATTTCAAAATAGTTAGGCATGTCATTACTTGTATTCATTGGGCAGCAGTGCAACAAATGTCTGTGTAAGACATTAGTTTTCAACAGTCTGGTGATACAGTCACAAGCTTGTGCCAGTACAGTGTTCCCTCTGGCAGCTCCCACACTTGCTTGTTCACAGTCTTGCCTCAGATCAACCTTAAAATTTGCTTCCTTATAACATATGTGACCCTTCCCAACTAGAACTTTTTTTTTGGCATCTTTATTCCCATGTGTGATACAATAATTTGCTTCCCACTAAAATGCTGTCTATCTTAGGTCCTTTGTTGACACATGCAGACTTCTCCTCTGTTATTTTCTGTTGGGTCATTGTAGCACGTTTTCGCCCAGATCATCTTGCAAGTACAGTATGCGGTAATTGAAAATGAAGTATTGTTTGCATTCTCAAATTACTAATGAAGCCACAAGATAATATAGAACTTTGAGCTTTGGCTCCCCCCCTTACTCTCACTTGTTAATTCTTGTCTAGGATTTAGAAGGTAAGCTTTTCTGGGTAGTGTTGATATCTTTATTTGTCTATAAAACATTTGCCACGGTTTGGGGAACTATTTTAAGGCTTTGTCAAAGCTTCTTCCCCACTGACGTCATCTTCAAATAATTTCTCCTTGGAACACCATTTGCCACTCTCTACCAATTCTCTTTTTATCTTGCTACTCTTACCTGCTTTTGTTTTCTTGGCTTTAAAAAGAGATTGGGCAAGTTAAAGAACAGTAGGGGCTCATAGAAGCTTATGAATTGAGTCAGTGACTCAAAATGAAGATTATCCTTTTTTGTATTTTATTTTGCATAGAGCAAGTCAATAAAAAAGATTATCTACTCACAGCTCAATACAAAATAAAATCTTAAGATAGACCTAGAAGGTCAGTTTTTCCCCCATATCTTGTCTTTAAGAGGGACCTTTAGCATATGCTAAGGAAGGAGCTTGGGAAACACGAACAGAGTAGTGTAAACCTTTCCCTTGTATATCCTTTCCACTTCTGAAAGTTAATAGCTTAGGGACTTCCAGAGCCCAAGACTGCATCTTGATCATTGTTTCTGATAGCTGTCTGTGCACATATCCTCCATTAATTTGTCTAAACCTTTTTTGAACTCATTTATGTTTTTGGCTTCCATAGCATCCTGTGGCAATGAGTTCCACAATTTAATTATGTGCTTTGTGAAAGAGTATTTCCTTTTGTTCGTTTTAAATCTGCTGCCTGTTAATTTCATTGAGTGCCTGCTTGTTATGAGAAAGAATAAATTACAATTTACTGTTTGCTTTTACACATTTTTCTTGATTTTTGTAAACCTCTACCGTAGTAGTCTTAACTTGGAAAACTAATGACTGTATCTGGCGAGTTAAGAGCCATAGTCTAGTTAGTCTCTGTACGGAGACTGTTCTGTAACTTGGATAATCCTTTCTCACCCTGTGTGAATTTGTCCCGGTGTTCCCATGTCCTCATGAGGTGAGATGACCAAACCAGTATGTGTTAGTTAAGATGTGGATGCACTGGAGTCTGGCAATATTGTATGTTAGTGTAATCTCCTTTGTATACCTGTCTTCTGTTACCACAGAGGCCAGTATGACTTACAGCAGCTGCATTTTTTTTCTTAACTTGTACTTCCAAGATCAACAGAAGCCTAAAAGCTACTTGGTATGAAGCAGTGTCATAGGTTAGAGGCATGTTTTCTTCTGGTAATGAAGGCTTATTGCTTATATGCTTTCAATTCGTGCTCAGGAGTTGATAAGCCCAGATGGTATATGTCTCTTCTGATCTGAGGGGCACAAAATTAGAATAGCCGCAACTTAGACTTGTGAGTTATGGTAGCTGTAGGAATTCTGAGGCATCGTTCTGTTGGAAAGCATTGTGCTTGTGTCTCCATAAGGTGTGTGCACTGAGATTTCAGCTGGTGTGATCTCATTTATTCAACTGGGGAACCTTCATGGCAACATTTCACTAGTAGGTCTGGAGGAATCATGTCTGTGTATTGATTCAGATCCATTTTTTTAATTCTGCGTGGGTTTATTACTACGTTCGTTCAGATCACAAGTGCACTCATGAACAGATAAATGCTGGGAATATACTGTCCACAGGACTAAACTGGAGCTAGGCCAGCATGAGCTCCCCTGAGCTGGCCCTGAGTCCCCAGCACTGTTTTGCTCCACAGATACCCTTCTCCTGCACTGCACTATTTGCTAATGTTAAGCATAGGCAACACAGATCTCTGTAGGAGTTTTAAAATATTTTTAAACAGTATTAAAACTTACCACTAACTTATTTATATATGCGCCCTTTGCCATATATTGCAGACCATCTCACAGTTATTGCCACAGATCTACAGATCTTCACGGTGCTAAAATATTAACCTAAGCTCATATACTGAGAGAAAGTTATCAAAGGTCACATAAAGACATACATAGCAGTGGTACGAGTATAATTTGGATTGATTAAGTCTTAGTCTAATGCCTGTGTCAAAAACATCCCTTTTCCAGAATAGATTAAAAAATGGGAAAATACTAACAGCTTTAATTCAAATAAGTACCAGGCTTTGTAACTGGAGAGTCCCTTCATAAGTAGTACTTTGATATTTTTTTGCAGTGACATTTGATTGGCAAAACACACTGCTGCAGATACTCTAGAGCAATACTGGGACATCAGTGATTGTTTTTGTCTCTCTGCAATTAAAGTCAACACTTCTGTTTAGGTTTTTGTGCCATCCCTATTGCTGTTACCTCTGAGATACGCATAATTCGGTCATCTTGGATTAAAAAAAAAAAAAATCAATATTCTTCTGTCTTTTTGTAATCAGGCATATGCCGCAATCCCTGCCTATTATGTGAGGGAATTCACTGTGTGTGTACATATTCCCAGGCAACATTAAACCTGATGCAAACCTAAAATACTGTGTCTACACAGTAGGACAAGCAGTTCCAGAAACATACTGAAATTATTGCATAATCACAGCACATTAATTCTATGCAGGCACAGTAGCATGGTCAGAGGGAGGAAACGGTACCAAGTAGGAGCAGTTTTTTAGTATTTCCAGAGAAATTAACCTGACCTGCATTCTTGCTCTTGGAAGCACAGTGAGCTAGATCAGATATTCTGTTGGGCTTTGTGTGTCCCTTAAGCCTCAAGTAGACCTTTCATGTCTTGTCTTACTATGCTGGTGTGACAGAGAGAGAACTTCTGAGCAGACTCCTCTGCCTAGGAACAGGTGCAAGAAAAAACTGGTTTGTGTTTGTGGATCTTGTGTGTGCTGCATGTGAGATTGACGTTGAATACATTCTTCCTTGGGTCAAGTATTTCTTCTGCAGTTTGGGCTACATAAATCATAGAATCATTAAGGTTGGAAAAGACCTCAAGGATCATCAAGTCCAACCGTCAACCCAACACCACCTAACTCACTAAACCATGTCCCTAAGCACCACATCTACACGCTTCTTGAACACCTCCAGAGATGGTGACTCCACCACCACTTCCAATGCCCGATCACTCTTTCAGTGAAGAAATGTCTTCTGCAACTTGAACCAGCAAAGAGAAGTACTAAAAAGAGGCTTCTCAATAAAGCATTACATTACTTCTTTAACAGAAGTGGAAATAATTGCATTATTAGTAAATTAGATGTCAGGCCGTCATGTGTTTGACTTGAAAGAATAATTTTACGACATTGCATTTTATTTCATTTGTATCTGTACAACTGAGAAGCTTAAAGCTGTGAATGCAGACTTTAATAAAATGTTTATTTTTATCTCCTAGGCTACTCGGCATGCAGAATTGGTGGCAATCGATCGGGTCCTTGACTGGTGCAAGCAACACAAGAGAGATTATACAGAAGTGTTTGCACACTCAGTATTGTATGTAACTGTAGAGCCATGTATCATGTGTGCAGCTGCCCTGCGCTTGATGAGTATCCTTTCATGCTTATTTATGCTGGGAAGCCATATGTCAAAATGTTACTCTTTTGGCAGTGAGCCCACACAGAAGGGCCTGATACTGTCAGGCAAAGCCAACAGGGGCATCATCTTATGGTTCTGGAGTCTGCACCCCCCTCTGTTTACTGCATGGTAAATAGTGTGAGACTCAAGAATGAGAGAAATAGTGCTATTATGACAAACAACAATTTCTCTTAGAAATATAAAACTACATTTTGGAGATATCTGTTCTTATGTAAAATGAGCTAATCTCAGTTCAGTGTTCAGCCTTGAATGTTGTAACAATCAACAAACCATGGCTTTGTATGCCTCTGGTTTGGGATTCATGCTTCTTTTCTGAGGAAGGCTGGATGTGGATCTTTGGCAATGCATCTTACGTTACTCAGAAACAAGTTCTGATTTTATGAGGGAGGAATTGTAGTGCAAACTAATTCGGTTTGAAAAGTACAAACACATTTTAGTGAAATTTAATGACTACTTAAATCAGGCTACTTTACTTCCTGCTTGCTTTTCACTTTAAGTTAATACCTTAACTCATTCACATAAATTCCACGGGTCGTATTTGGCTGTCGAAATGAGCGATTTGGAGGCTGTGGCTCAGTTTTGAGCATCTCATCTGATGATATGGTAGACTCCGGAGAACCATTTGAAGTAAGCTATAAAATGTTTTCCTTTGTTTTTCAGCTAAGGTACTGTGCCTACCTTTGTTACTATGCTTTGAGAATGTTATGCATCAGTTTAAGTGAATTCAGATGAAAGATGATCAGAAGTCAAGTAAACTTGACTTTACAAGAAAGTAACGTAAAAAAAATTAAGTCCTTAAATTAAATTGGGGAAAAGCCTGATGACAGTCTTAAAACATTTTTTTAAAAAAAGGATGTGTCAAAGAGGAAAGGAAAGAATTACACTTGTGGAACAAGGTAAGGAATAAATATATGTAAAAGCTGTGCAATACTTAGTACAGTAAGTGTATGCTTCAGGAAGAGATGAGGGAGAAATTTTAAACTGCAGAATGTACAAACACATAATCAATAAAGATCAAGTAACACCAACTTTCTAAGTTACTGTTTTTTAGCTGAGCCACTGGAAATGATTGCATTTTTGCTCCCAGTCTATCCATGTATGAGGTAAAATGCATTAGCTTAGATCTAATTCATATCGTTCAAATCCCCAAATAAATATGGACTGCAAAAGTAGCAGAGGAGATTTAGTTTAGATATCGGGGAAACTTGCTGAATAGTAAAGATACTGGAGGACTGGAACAGAGGGTCTGGGGAGAACGAGGTATCTTTGTAATTTAAGAAAGGCTGGACAAGCATTCAGTGGAGGTGTAGTATACATAAATATAGACATTTTACAGCATTATACTAGTATACCTATATAGCTATACATACGTATAGATAGAATTTATAGAATTACATTATACACAGTTGTAGATGATCCTGCCTTGTATAAGGATATGGATTAGCATTCTTAGAATTCTTTTCTGCACTTAACATTTATGATTGAATCAATGTAAAAAATAAGAAATATATATTAGCATTGTAAATAAGCACTAAAGGCTCAAGGCTCAGAAAATTTTAGTCAGCAAAACGATACCGTTTGGCAGTCTGGTGTAAACATATTAAGCATCTTTCTGTCAGGGCGTTTGTGAGACTAGCATCTGAATTAATTTGTATAGTCAGTACTGGAAGAGTGTTCATTTGCTAACATTGGCACATGGTATTTAATTTTTCTATATGTTTAGAAGAAAGAAAGGAGAGGATTTTTGCTACTACAAATCCTTTGTTTCTGTAGGCAACTGCAGTGGGATATATAGGTGTAATTAATTATTTTCTAGTGTGAGGGGAGATTCATTTAGTGTTAGTGGCATTTAAATGCTTTGACATAATGCTCATGCTCTGGAAAAATATTTTGAAAGGACCAAAGAGTTCTGAGAGGTGACTGTTGGGAGTAAAGAACAGGTGTGGCGACATATGTTGTCTGGTAGGAATCTTATCTACAAATACCTAATTGTATGTCTCTTAAATTTACAAGTGCTTGAAGAGTACATGAAGCAAGTTGGAAACACATTAATAAGAGAGAAATTGGTGATTGCATAAAAATTTCAAGTTACTAAGAAAGTTTGTTTTGCCTAACTTAGTTATTAGGGAAATTATTTATTCTGTGAAGCCTCAACATAGTATTTTTCAAATGTATGAGGCATTAAACCTCAAGAGGAGACTTTCTGACCCCCAAATTATTAAAGGTACATGTCAAATTAGTGGAATAGACGGTATAGTTGTTTACAATGATTCTGTACTGAAGGCATTATTGTGAAGCATAGAATATGTTATTCTCAAATGCACTCATGAACATCATTCTAATTTGAACAGTGCATTTCTGGCTATCGTGCCAAAGAAGCAGTGGAAATGTTAAAAGCTTTCTACAGACAAGAAAATCCCAATGGTAAGTTTCACATTAATGGATCCATTTTGATCCCAACCTAATTTAAAAAAATGCTGGCGGTGGTATTATTGTAATTCACTTCTGATATTTTTTTTCCTTTCTGTTCTTCTTGGCAGCACCAGCATCAAAAGTACGGAAGAAGGACCGTCGTAATTAGCCCTATGCTGATGGGAGACAGACTTAGCAAAAAATGACACATGAAGGTTTTTTCAGCATCCTTCTTTTTTAATATGCACCATCCAATTAAACTATGTCTAATATTCTATACAGAGTTTTCACTAATAGGAAACTTGCTACCTGTTCCCTTGTCTCTTTGTATGCGTTTTCTTGTTATCGTGCATGACCAAGGAAAAAAATAAGTGTCTGTTTTTAGAAACGGGCAAATTTGTGGTTCAAGTTCACTTGTTTACAGACAGATGGATCAATTACAATGATGCCATTCTGTACAGTACATTCTAGAATATTTTCTTTCCTTCTGTCTGTGGGGGAGCATCTTGCTTTTCAATAGTCAAATGTTTGCTTAGGCAAACACGTAAATCTCGTGGAACATTACATTTGACCTTCACAGTCCTAGTGTATATATTTAATAAAAAGGCATATAAGGAATTCTACAGACCTTAAATATTTGAGATAAGACCATTGTAATGGTTCTTCATTGTTTTTTACACCCCCTCTAGCATAAGCCAAATTTTCAAACATAACTTCTGAAAGTCACATACATGTGTAGACAGGTGTATATGCAGAATCACATCTCAGTTTGGGTACACTATTGCTAATAAGCGTACACAAGCATCACTTGGCTGCACAACGTCTTCTTACAAAGTGGAGAAACTCTGCACAGCTCTCTTTAGACTGTCCGCTCCTCTTGTGAATATCCGCTTAAGAAATGCTTTATTGTTAAGAATCTGCTAAGAAGTTGAGGTTGTTCTCAGCTACTAAATTATAGTAACTGAAATGGGCAGATACTTGCAAAAATGATGAAAGTAAATTGGTAATAGTGTGCAGAAAATATCTTTGAGATGTTTATCTTTTCATAGCGTTGTTGGTTGGCTTTGTCATTTCCATGCACTTTGCTTGCCCATGCAGTAATTTGTAATCCAGAAGAGGGCCTTACAGTTCCAGTAATGAATTAAGAGTACAAGTACAGTTCAATCTTGATTAGATACCTCTTTGTGGATATTTATCTTAAGCATGAAACTGTTTGTAGTTTATTTGGCTGATACTCAGAAATTTGAGAAATGCCTTAACTTTTTTTTTAATGTAAAAGAGCGATTAGAATTCTACGATTATAAAAACTGAATACAATTAAACCTTTTAGATATTTCAAATAAGTACTTTCAAAAGTGTTTTTAAAAGAGCATTAGAAGCATTAGTTTTTCACCATTGCTCCTAATAGCTTAGAATTTGTATTTTCTGTATTGTTGCTTACAAAGTGACATGGGAAAGAAGTGTTTTTGCCATACTAGCTATTTTTTCGGAGTTTAGAAAGAGTATTCCTTTAACTTAAGCCCTTTAACTGATGCCTGTGACCTATGCTATTCTCCTGACTGTTACAGCACTCTTAAGTTTCCTTTTGTCATGGTTTGAACCCAGCTAGTGGCAAATACCACGCAGCTGTGCACTCACCCTACACCCTTACAGGTATGGGGGAGAGAATTAAAGGCATAAAGGGAAAAGACCCTTATGGGTTGAGATAATTAAACCACAATAAAACTGAAAATAATAATTATAGTAATAATAATATACAGATGAGTAATACACAACGCAACTGCTCACCTTCCACTGACCAAGGCTCAGCCTATTTCTAGCTTATGATCCCAGAGCGGGGAAAGTCGTGAAGCCACAATCCTGGAAAGGAGATAAGAGCCCAAGTGTCCAAGGGACTGAATGCCAACTAAGAGAGAGAGAGAGAGAGAGAACTTCCGGATAGCCTCTCATAATATACTGGGCATGATGTGCATGATATGGAATATACCATTGGCCAGTTTTGGTTTCAATCCTACACCTAAGGTCAAATCCTAGGCTAGTAATTGGGGCTGTGCTCCCTCCCAGCTTCTCCTGCACCTGCAGACACTGCCACAGCAAAGGAGCTGAAAAGCGCTTGACTGTCCTGGCAGCAACTATAAACACAGTGTGTGATCAGCCTTCTCAGCACAAATCCAAACCCCAGCCTCACACTAGCTACTATTGAAGACCATTAACTCTGTTCTAGACAAAACCAGAGCACCTTTCTATAAGCAAAATAAGTTATGACTGTAGATTTAATCAGCTTCGGAGCTGCGAGGGCTTATGAACCAGATGGCTAAGTTGGAAAAGCTCTTTAGGAAAAGACCATTTTTAGTGACTGAGATGGCTTTATTGGAAAGAAACAGTCACACCTGTGGTTGTATTTGGCTGGTGATATAAGATAGCTATTTATCTATACAGATACATACACTCAGTTGTCAACTGGACCATAATTTTTTTATACCTTGAAGAAGTCCCTGAAGTCCAAATTAAAGGAAGATATTAGATTTCTGGCTTGTCACTGACATTAGTGACAGTAGGAATTGGAGCCTACATATTGCTTTAGACCAGGACCTAAATCTCTCAGCAGCTGTTCTGCTGAGTGGCTAAGAATGCTTTCCTTCCCCACTGCCTTCTTTCCAAAAAAATGCTGTTAGCATTTGGATAGTGTGACATTAGGAGCCATGTAAATAAGCAGAAAGATTACTGTTGGTTGGACAAAACACACTTTAAAAGCTGTGTCCATTCTGCAGTCCTTAAAAGTGGAACAGAAATTTTTTGTAACAGCAGTTAGTGGTAACCTGTCAGTTAGAAAACAGTTTAAGTCATGCTCAAAGCCAAAGGAGATTGAAGAGGGTGACAAAAATGAAATTTCTCTTAAGAATGGTCAAGGGTAATAATGTGCATCTTAGAAAGAGGAATAGCATAGCAAGATAAAAACTGTTGTATTACAGAAAGGTTATAAAAGATACTTCTGTTTACTATATGCTGTAATGTGTGAGCAAAAAAACCTCAGTCTAGTATTGAGGTACATTTGGATGTGTGTGCTTTTAAGTATAATAATTCTCTTGGAGAACAAACTGCTGAAAGATTACACTGAAAGCAAAAATGTAGCCTTTAAAATCCTGTTACTTATGTAAGAACAAATGCAGATACATAGGTATTTTTATAAAAGAAAAAACTTGTTTGAAGAAAAGCTGTTCATCAGAGCCATGGCATGACATCTTGACAACTGGCACATGCACGGCTGTCTCCTCCTCTCTCCCTGCAATGGCTGGGCTCCCACCACAGCAGCGGCAGGAGCCCACAGAGGCTGGTCCTGTTGGCCTCCACTTGCCGCTGCTCGCAGAGGTGTGTCTGGGGTGTTGTCCCTGACTGATGTGCTGAAGCTCTTCCTAACCATCAGGTTTGAGTTTGTCAGTGTTGTTTAGAGTCAGATTCACAAACCTGAGCACTCCACAAGAAATTACAGAGATCCTGGCCAGAAGGCTCTAGGTTCAGGCTCGGAGAAACATCTCTGTGGCTAAGCTCAATATGGGCTGAAGAAGGCAGGAGGCAGCTGTGACAGTTCCAACCCAAGGAGCTGACCGTTTTCAGTGCTCCCAATCAGAAAATGAACTTAGCAAGAAAGAGAATTGGAGAATACAGAAATAAGGTCAGAAAAATAATTGAACTGTTCTTGGAACGCTTATTCAGCGAGGAGAGGACAGTTGCTCACCGCTGCAGGAGCACAGGCTTGGTTTGTAACTGTTGAGGGACCCCAGGAATCAAGAGCTGATGGGTTGCACAGTGCAGAATGAGTGTTACTGTCTGCTTGCTGGAGACCTAGGTCTCAGCTTGCTTTCTGTCTCAGAGAGTGTCAAGAGCAGCAACTTTTAATTGTTAGTGCCACCTGGAGAACTCAGAGCAGCAGCTTATAAATGATGCTATTCATTTTCACAGTGCTTTTACTTATTTTTATCTATTTGTGTCCATGTTACCACATAGCAGGCCTCAAGAGTAGCAGTAAATATGTCCAACTGGTTTATTTAAAGAAGTTTAAATGGTTCACATCACCATTTTTCCCTTGCTGCTTAACAAATAAATACATAGGCTTCAGCATTACATTCCCCTTGGACTGCATCTTTGCCAGTTCATCACAGGCAAACATGATTTCATTTCAGCCTTTGCTTTGCTTGTCAATAGTCTGACATCAAAATATATTGAACCAGCTAGAAGGTCAAGGAGCAAAACAACACGGCTTTGTCTCTGCTAAACTGATTACAACTGACAATCCAAGGCTATAATAAATATGTCTTGTGACTTCCACACTAGAGGAGAGCCTGAATTTAAATTATAGCTTTGGGTTTTGAAATGCTCACTGATCCATTCCATTCCCATTAAGAGCGCCTTCCGCTCTGCAAAATTAAGTGGTATCTTTACATGACAGCTTAATTTAATTAATTTTTCAATATGTACATTTATGGAGTTTCTCCATTAAGCTTTTGAAATGTCTATAGGTCTTATGCATTAATGTAAATGCGCCATGGCCCATAATTACCTTTGGCAGGCTTAGGGCAGTGATAAAGAGATTATATTTTAAGTCTTCAAACTTCCCTGGTGCTTGGCAGGAAATCTGTTTCTGTGTTTTATTTGGAGCAAGGCTGGGGAGCCTGCAGCCAACCGCTCCAGTGCAGGCAGTAACTGTTACATTTTAGAAAAAAACACATTTGACTCTAAATGAGAGAAGGGGAGAGGAAGACAATTAGTATGAAGAGTACTAGAAGCAGCTGTTTGTTTGTTTTGCCTTGTGGCTGCCAATGTATACTCTTATCATTAAGGTGCATCTAGAAACAGAGTATTTTCTATGAAATTACTTTGCAAAACATAGAACTTTGTAAGAGGCTGCCCCAAAGTGAGCTTATCTTCCTCTTTTCACAATAGCTCTGTGCTAGCCAAGAATGCTGGATTCTCCCATTGCCTCCTCCTCCCTCCTTTCTAAAAATGAACTTTTCAGGGAAATAAGGAATTCAGAGAAGTTTGAAGGAGAGCAGATGGCCAACAGTGATCCAATAGGATGTAAAACTTCAGTTAGGTAGTTGCTTGGCAGGCAAGTACAAGTGAGCCCATGATGTTTCCATAGTGATGTTTTCACATGGTGCCTTCCTTTTG